CTAGCTATTTAGTTGTTTAGCTATTTAGCTATTTAGTTAGTTATTTAGTTGTTTAGCTATTTAGTTATTTAGTTACTTAGTTATTTAGTTAGCTAGCTATTTAGTTGTTTAGCTATTTAGCTATTTAGTTACTTAGTTATTTAGTTATTTAGCTATTTAGTTATTTAGTCGTTTAGTTGTTTAGCTATTTAGCTATTTAGTTACTTAGTTATTTAGCTGTTTAGCTATTTAGTTATTTAGTTATTTAGTTATTTAGTTACTTAGTTATTTAGTTAGCTAGCTATTTAGTTGTTTAGCTATTTAGCTATTTAGTTACTTAGTTATTTAGTTATTTAGCTATTTAGTTATTTAGCTATTTACCTATTTAGTTATTTAGCTATTTACCTATTTAGTTATTTAGTTAGTTATTTAGCTATTTAGTTATTATTATCATCTAAGATGTAGATGCAGATAGTGGAGTCTTCAGTCTGGTGAGAGTCTGTAAGTATGGAACAATAAAGAACTCCGCTTAGAAGGATAGTCACATGTCATTCTTGGTTTTGGATCTGACGCCATCCATAGCTAGCATTTCTTGAGCCTCAAGCTGAGCCAATCGCAGTCTTCCCCAGTGGGGTGAGCTGTATTGGATGTTTATTTCAAGTACAATCATGATTTCCAAACCAACAACATTAATGGGTTGTTCATGTCCTTGAAACCGAGATTTGTCTTCAGCTATTCTCCAAAGCACCCGAGGACAAGAGAAGAAGCAATGGGTGGAAACTAATCAAGGAGAGAAGCAACTTAGAGCTAAGGAGAAATTTCCTGATAGTGAGAACAATGAATCAGTGGAACAGAAGTTGCCTCCAGAAGTTGTGAATGCTCCAACACTGGAAGTTTTTAAGAAGATCCTGGCTAACCATTTGTCTGAAGTGGTGGGTTTCCTGCCTAAACAGGGGGGGTGGACTAGAAGATCTCCAAGGTCCCTTATTCCCAACTCTGTTATTCTATTCAATTCTTCAAAGAGAAGCGACCTTCAAAGAGAGGGTTTCCATAGCCCTCTCATCAATGGTGAAACCCGTCAAGCAAAACTGTGTTTATTTTTATGTAGAATGGTCAACCTCTGTTTGAAAAAGTTGGCCAAGATGGGCAGGATACCATTCACATATGCATCATGGTTTATTGACTTCCTTCCCAGCTTTAGGGTTGCTGGGGTTTTTTCCCCCCTAGCCCTTATCTGAGAAGATCAATTTTTTTTTGTTTTAGAATATTGGGCTATTATATATAGAGGAGCACGAGAAAGAGAAACAGGAGTCAACATTAGCTTTTGCCCATGGCTTGTAATACAGCAAACCAGGTTATTCCTAGCTGGCTTGCCAATAATCACCTTGCAAAAAATAATAAGGACCCAGTAAATCACTCAGGGATAGGCGAAAATATATATATATCTATATATATCTATATATAAATATATACACATATAATTATTATACATTATATAACAACACATTCGGTTTCTAGAGATATACATTTTATATAACATTATTCTCCATAGCCTGCTGTGAAGCAGAGAGAAGATTAAGAAGCAGAACTAAGGAAGAGGGGGAAGAGGAGGAGGAGGAGGAGGAGGAGGAGGAAGAGGAAGAGGAAGAGGAGGAGGAGGAAGAGGAGGAGGAGAACAAGTGTGGGATTCTTGGTTTTTTTCTTGCAGACATTTCACGACCCAGCTATGCAATATCATCAGTGCTAGAAGGGAGTGGGTTTTAGGATTTACAGGGAGGAGGAGGAGCAGGAGGAGAAAGAGTTATTTGCTAAGTTTGCATTGCATACCTACAATATTTTTTTGTTCAAGAGGCTCTATGCAACAGTTTAAAAAATACATAGATACATATATATATATAGAGAGAGATATTTGTAGAATATTTTAGTCTCTGGGACCAGACTGTACAATTATGTAACATAATTTAAAAAGCAAGTATTTGACTTTTTTCCTCTTTTACAAATATTTACGGTGCTGTACACTTAAGAAATTCGTCTCCATCCACCCTCCTCAATTAGCAATAAGAATTGATTAAGGAAAACAATGGCGAAACACACAGCTGAAGTCTTGGAAGAAAACCAGAAACTGTTCTAATTCTACCCTTCCAAAGCAGCTCCTGGGGTTAAGGGCGATTGGCTGGAAACCTGAATATAAAGGCATCTACGAAGCATTGGAGTGGGAACGGGTTGATTTTGGGCTACTTCTACTTCTAATCTAATTCCTAGATTAACTCCTGGTGTTTTGTTTTTGTTTCTAAATTCCAGAGTCCTTCAGATGATGATAGAGATAGAGATAGAGATAGAGATAGGGATAGGGATAGGGATAGGGATAGGGATAGGGATAGGGATAGGGATAGGGATAGGGATAGG